TTGTAGGTAAGGCAAATCCACATTTTGCAAAGTGCACATGCTCACAAACAATGATGCACGAAGAACATGAATGACAAAATTTATGTAACTTGACTAAGAATGCACATTTTCCTCCAATAAAGAATTTAAAGATATTGCAACTATGTATACATGAAACTAATATGGCTTCAAACTAATGATTTAAACGAAGAAGAGAGGAAAAGGAGTGATTTAAGGACCAAACATTAAGAACAAGCTGTTAGGAACCGCAAATAAATCATTCTCTTTTGACATAGTACTTTGGAGTAACTTTTTAAGTATAGATTTGACTGCTTAAACAAGTAAGTAGTTTTTATATAACAGAATTCTCATTGATATCACACAGTGATTTTTGTCGTTAAAACAAAACTCGAAGACGTCGAGACATATTTTAGAAGCGATGACAAGGATAATCACATGCTTAACGGGTTAAGGCCGTAACTTTCTCTTGTAAATGCTCCTAACTTCCTCCACTCTTTACACACTAGTTTACAATAAAGTGAACAAGAAATGATAAGAAAAACACGTTCAACCTCATTATCATAAAGACGTTTCGATATACCCTTAGAGATAAGAAAGAATGGGATAAAGAGAAATTGAAATACAACCATATGTAGTAACATAAATAATTCATCTCTTCCCATGTAAGGAGTGAACATAAGTCATAAGAAATTAACTCAAACTAGAGTGTAATAAACTAGACGACTTATTGTTAATTACTATTTTTATCGAGTTCTTAACTATTAGTGATCTGTCATAAAACAATTAGACTTAAACAAAGGCACAATTCATGCTCACATAAATATTTAAAGGCATCAGATGATCCAAAAAATAAGCCAACCAAAAGCTTTCTTAAAAATGAGCTTCATTACTTGAAACTCAAGGACGTAAAAGTAACAATAAAACAAAAAAATGACCCATAAATATTGGTCGCATTTACATAGTTCGGCAGAGGGTAAGATGAAAGGGAAGATTTTTACCTTGTATTGAGCAGCAAACTAAGAATTTGTTGTCAAGATTCAAAGTTCAAACTCAAACTCGAAGTCAAAAAAGAGAAGTGTGAATCTTTTTTTTTCGGACGCCTTTTGACTCTCTGTTTATATTCTTAGATCTTTTTGATTGTTGCTTGATTTTCTGGATTGATCGGATATATTTTTTTTGAATGATTGTTGGATCTCTCTTGGATCTGCTTTCTTCTTTATAGCCGATTTGGGGCCTCTACTATGTTCAAAAGATATTTAAAATAACGAGACTTTTTTTTTTAAAGGAAAATAAAGACTTTTATTTCAAAGCATTCTAGCTTTTAGGAAAAAAAAAAGAAAAGAAAATGGAACCTTACACCCATCAGATTAAAGGGACGACTAGCCCCAAATCCGATGGTTCTCCATGCATTTCGCCTTTCCAGTCGTAGCAGCGGCGGTAGTGTGGCTTTTTAGGCCTGTCGTGGTTAAGAAAAGATGTAAAGTTGACATGAGGAGGACATGATTGATGGAGGGTAGGGAGATATGTTGGAGACCACCAGAAATTGCCATTTTCCGGTGGTCTATAGGTGAAAACGCTGGCAGAGGAGAGAGAGATCGATGGGAGAGGAGAGGAAAAGAGTTTGTCTGTAGGTGAAAACGCTGGCAGAGGAGAGAGAGATCGATGGGAGAGGAGAGGAAAAGAGTTTGATGGGAAAGGGACAATTTTTGGGAAGAGAAAACGTATGGGGAAGGAGGAAGTTCTGGGGAAAATAAAAGTATGCGGATGATGGGTTGTACTATTTGGGAAAGATGAATTTTTTGGGATTTAATTGGGGCCGTCCGATCATTTGATCGGACGGTTGGTAAAAATA